TAAAATAAAATAAAAAGACAATGAATACAATGAAATACATGAAAATACAGTGTGATACGTTGAAAAAATATTAAAATATATTAACAGAAAATCAAGTTGTTCAACCCCAAACTCCGTCGTCTTTGTTCAAGAACAAACTCTAATTTCCGGCGAATCCGCCGTCGAGCAAAAACCCTGAATCTCACTGTTCACACGCCGCCGTCGATCGGAGGCTTCATCTCCTTTGGATTCAATTTCGGTTGCAGAAATTACTAACACTGCTTGGGGACCCGTGACCGTCTTGTCAGAGGAGACATCCATAGCCGCACGACCATTTTTCTTATTCTTGTTTCTGTTCTACGCCATAGCTATGCGAACAGGGAGACGTAAGGATTTCTTCTGCAATTGTAATTGCAACGGAAGGGTTTAGGGTTTAATATTCCATATGGAGGAATAAGAATCTTTAGAGTCTTCAGCAATGACCGAAATTATATATACATACCACAAATGGAGAATTTTATCAAATAAAATCCTAATTTCCCAGCTCTTTCCCTCTAATTTTCGTACTCAGTGAGGTCTTCTTCGTTTTATCCTTATACTAAAATGGCGATGGTGGGTGAAGGAACTGGAGAGCTCTTTATGAGAAATCTGAGGTAAAAGTTGTATCAAAGTAGAGAGAGAAAGAAAATATTATAACTGAATAGCGTATTTAGTGGCTTAGGAGTAGGAGGTAACCAAAATTAGATATTTTGCTATAAACATTAAAAGGTATCTATAGAATATAATTTTTTTAAATGGTATTTATTTAAAATAAATAAGGTGTTAACCTTTGCTATAGGAGGTAAAAATTCCTACATATTTTCGATAGTTTCTATTTTGGGAATGTTACCCAAATAGCCGGCCAGATTCATTGTTTACTTTTTCTAGCCAGTATACATAGATTATACATTAATTATACACAGCTATACACATATTATATATAAATTTTACGTATATTATACATCTTTCAGCTACTTTTAATTTAAGAAAATTGGTGGGTGACTATTTGAGTTAATTCTTCTTCTATATTTTAATATTTAAGAATTATAATTTTATCATTTCTATACTATGTTAGTATAATATCTTACCAGCGTTAGTTTTTGTTTAATTAAATATATATGAATGACTAGAAATATATCCGGTGAGAGGTGAGACTCGAAAAGGATCAGAGGCGGATTTAGAATTTTAAATCTTTAACTAGAGGTAAGTATTGTTTCATCCTTAACTAGAGGTTTTGGGTTCAAAATGTTGTTATGGAGTTGCCTTTGTTAGGGAGCATTTTACCCCAATGTAGGACTTTCCAATGCGAATCCGACCGATTTAGTCGGGCCCCAATGCGGACACCGAATACCGGGTCGGAAATCAAAAAAAAAGGAAAGAGGAAAGAGGAAAAGTCAACCATTCATGAACCACGTACTAATCGTGGTAGTACGTGTTTTGCCCAGTTGAAAATAGATGACTGTCTGTTTGTATTTTTGCAAGTCGACATATATCGTCAATAAAAGCCGAATTCCATGACTCTAAATTCATTCCTTTCACATTCCCTTCTCTTTGTTCATACGATAATATACAGCAATTATATAGAGAATACAGAACTTGAAGATTTTAATGTCCAAAACTATAAATATAAGCAAGCAAAAAGCACACGCCATATACTCATTCCAATGTAAGCTTTTTTGCACTACAATATAGCATGTTCACTGTGTTTACATGCAAAAATGGAGAAGCTCATTAAATCACCAGCATCAAACGTTGGAAGTGTCAAAAAGATGAGTTCGAACTATATCGATCTTCTCTTCTTCTCTAATATAAAAAGAGAAGACTTGATATTTTAAGGATAAGTATAGATGAATATTAAGTTCGGACTTATGTGCACTGACAAAGATACAAAATTTTTACACAATCATATTCCATAATATAATTAACAGTATATCTCTGTGATAAGTACTAGCTTGTGAGTTATTATTAGTAAAAATAAGAATTAACATGCTATCTGTAACAGTCCAGTCTATTTGTGATATTGTCCGCTTTGGACCTAGGCCCGTATGGCTTTAAAACGCGTTACTAGAGTCTAAGCTATGTTTTCGTATTTGCCTAGGGTGTTACATACACCCCCTTAGGGACTCACCGTCCTCGCTGAGATTTGCCCCACTACCGTTTAACTGAACGGGCTAGGCCCAAAGCGGACAATATCACTTGTGGGCTGAGATATTACACTACCACAGGTTAAAATTCACTGGTCGTATAACAAGATTTACACTACAAATGTTTGTGTAACTTTCATCTTACTATATGAATAGTTAATGATGGTCATAGTATGTACTCTATGCCTAAGCAGCATTTAGGCTAATTAATTAACGGCTTAACCTAATTGGTAATATAACATTCTAGACGTAGCTCATTGATTTCCTACTACTTACTGTCCATCTCCATCAATGACCCAATTTCTGCAGTGAACAAACGCTGTTTAATTGTGTAAGAAGCTGATAATACTAAAAAGAAATAAAAGAAAGGACAGCAGTATAAAATCTATAATTACTACTGCGTATTTATGCTCAAATTAAAGGAAGCGATAGCTTAATCCCCCACTATATATATATAAAGTTTGTGCCCACAAGCTTTAATGCATCTAGTTTAGGCAATTATGAAGTTCAAATGTACCATCCAATTGCACTATCAAGCAATGTATTAACTTTAACAACTTGTTTAGATTGTTATTACATATCGTTTCATAATTTATCATATTATATTGTACTGCATTGTGTATTGTATTGTTTGATAAATATAACGTTTGGATAGATTGTATCATTTGCCGTCATTTTATGATGTTACGCACCAACATGAAAAACAAACTTGCAACATTACCAAGAAAAAATAGAATACGGAGTAGAATTATTATATAAAAAAGTAGGATAAAGAATAAAATATGATTATTTAATAATAATGAAGGGCAATATGAGAGAAAAAGGCAAGAAAACGACGCCACCATACAAAATTCGTCGTTTACGTAATAATGGATTTAATAATGCAATACAATAAAATTTAAGTAACAATGAAAACAAACAATTGTATTTAAAATAACAATACGACACAATACAATAACTCAATAAGTAACAACCATCCAAAAAAGCTGTAAGTGTTACGCACAAAAGTTTTATAAACACACTTTAGTCAAATTGTGCCCTTTTGAGTTTTGACCTTTGAACTGTTTTACACTGACCGTAGAAATAAATAGGGGTTTTGACATAGTTACCCAAAAAAATAAAAATATTACCCTTCTCTATCCATTTGTTTTCCTACCCATAAACTAATTATATTTCCTACCCATAGTAGATTTTGTGGGGATTTTTTTCTTTATTCTCCAATTCTTTTTTATTCTATGCTTCTTTTCTTTACTTTTTTCTTTTCTCCTCTTTTTTTCTCGTTTTCTTCTTATTTTTTCCTTTTTTCCTTTTCTAATTTCATTTAACTTCTGTCTTTTTATATTATTTTTCTCTTCATAATCTAATTTCATTTACTGTTTTCACTATTTTTTATTATTCTTTTTTTTTATATTATTACTAAAGAAAAATCAAATTGTGCACCAATTAAATGTAGCTAATACAACCAAAAAAATATTAACTAACATATGATACCAGTATAATATATAGCTATACCAACATGGTATACAATTGTACGCAAAGAGTTAAAAAAATTTAATTCAATTATTAAACTGAAATAATATCAGTTGTCAAACAAAAATTAAAAAATTCTAAAAGGATCTCATTGTAAGAGTATACCGTTACATATAGCATACTATATATTTTTTTTTTTTTGCATTTTCAATTTACCCCTCACGTTGGGTAAAAGCTTAAAACAAATTAAAAGGGAAAAGACAAGTGAATTTACGGGTAATAAGTATACTATTATAGTATATTGTATGCTATTACAGCATATTGTTACAGTATCTTGCATATTATTACAGTATACCATAACAATATATCGTATACTATAATAGTATACTGTTGTATATAACTATATACTCCTATAGTATATTAGTATACTGTAGCGGTATACTGTTTTGTAAACTATAGTGTTGCAGTATAGCTATATACTCCTACACCATATTGTATACCGTAGCGGTATATTGTAGCTGTATTCTTCTTCGATTTTCAACTGACAATTTCGATCTCAATCACCTCAAATCAGCTCCAAACGCTATCAAATTTCAGTATGAACTTCCAGAAGGGTACTATAAGCAATATTTAACAGCACCCACTTTGAACCAAACAAGAAATCGTCAAAAATAAATTGAGCTTCCAAGCCCAACAATGGTGGATATTCAAATACACATAAAAATTTAGATCTGGAAAGCTTACTCGAAGATACTGTAAGCAATATTTTATAGCATCAAATCGAATCAAACAATAAATCTTCAAGAAGAGAAGTGTTTGTGCAAACTAGCTATAATACTTGTTAATGGCGTCATCTTCTTCATCTTCATTATCATCCTACTCACCATGTGCAGCATGTAAATTCCTACGTCGAAAATGCCAGCCAGAATACGTGTTTGCTCCTTACTTCCCACCAGATCAACCCCAGAAATTTGCAAATGTTCACAAAATATTTGGAGCCAGCAATGTGACAAAGCTGCTCAATGAATTGCAGCCTCACCAAAGGGAAGACGCAGTCAACTCTCTCGCTTATGAAGCTGACATGCGCCTCCGCGATTAAAGGGTAAATAGGCGGGTAAATAGTTTGGGGGCCATGGGTAGGAGTAGTAAATAGTTTCGGCATGGGCATTAAAGGGTAAATAGTTTGGAATTAATGGGTATAAAGTGAGACAGATAAATAACTTACCCGTTAAATGTTGATGCGTTGATGGATACTAAATACGTCCAGGTTGATAATATTTACATTTTCAAATTATTGTTTTCCTCGTTGTTATGTGATCTATAATTTTTTTTATTTAGGGGTGAGAAGGGGGAATGAAGAGTTAAGCGCATTAAACCACGTGAAATTTATTTTCATAAGTACATAACTACCACTTGATTATTTTATACTTTGAAAACCAAAAACTTGGAACTAAGTACTTACGCCGATAGTAAAAGGCATCACAAAGAAACCTTCATGTTGTCGAAAGAATTACTTTTGATAGTAAAATTCCTCCCAATTATTACTACTTTCACTAGGTCTTGAGCTCGAAATATTCCCAAAAAGAGATGAAAACTTCACAATATTTTCATCGACTTGCTGGTAATTACTTGGTGCTTGTTGTACATCATGAGATGCCTGTTGTACCAAAGATGTCATCGACGACGAGTCTGCAATGGAAGTACTTGACAGTGGCGGATCTAACCATGAGTTTGCTAGTTCAACAGTATTCAGTATGTCAGGATCAAATCCTGCATAAGTATGAAAAAAAAAAAAAAGTACATAAAATTAAATATATATTCCAGAATTCACGACTTTTAAATTTTGGACCCGCAACTGATATATACCTGATATGTGATTAAATCTTGATGAATCAGCGCCAGTGCGAAGCAGCTCATGAGGGTAATGTTGTAATTGAGAGAAAGGCTTGAAATTACAATTTGGGAGAAAATTAGCAGCTGGAATATTAATTAATTGCTCTTGAGGATTAGTAGTAAGGTAACCAAATTCAGTTTTGGCTAATACTCTTTCGGGGAAATTAAGCTTAGCTTTATTTCCTTTAAATTTAAGAGCAGCTTCATCATAAGCAATACCAGCAGCTTCAGCAGTTTCAAAAGTCCCAAGCCAAACTCGAGCAGCTTTTTTTGGGTCACGAATTTCGGCTGCGTATTTTCCCCATGGTCTTTGCCTCACTCCTCTATAATGTCTTCTTCTTTCAATATTCCCTTCACATATATACAACACGTAAACAAAAAGGTTTAAATTTGAACCAAGGAAAACAAGGAGAAATTTAGCTATTTGTGGAAGTATAAAGGGTATATATATCACGGGTTCGAGCTATGGAAACCAGAGGTGGATTCAGGATTCAAACTCTATGCGTTCAGCCTTTAAAGTTTTTCTCGTTGACTTATTCTATGTTTTAAAAGTACGGGTTCATATATACTATTTGTTGAAATTTTAGTAGATTTTTACACATGAATTCATGCACCGTGCTCGTCAATAGTTATGGATTCAGTTGAACTCATTATTAGAAGGCTAGGTACGCCCCCGGGTGGAACACATCTAATGTTTTCATTAGGGTATAGGCTGTCTATATCACCCCCTTAGGGTGCAGTCTTTTCCTGACCCTATGTGAACGCGAAATGCCTGGTGCATCAGATTGCCCTTTTTACAAAGAGTATACAGATATCTTACACCATCATATAAAATTAACCTTCTACCATAGGTAATTAACTCGACATCTGTATATCAAGCCTAATATGATATTCTACAAAATAGAGTGAGAACCTGCAGCTACAATAAATTTAATTAATGATGGTGTAAAAACTCTTTACCTCGTTAGTTATATATATATACGTATCATCATATAAATTTAATTAGCCATCTTCAGGAAAAACCCTAATAAAATTTGGTTGATAATGAGGATCATCAACAACAAGTTGCAAATTAATACACATTATTTTTTTCTGTCTTAACAAAAAGGGGCTAAAAGAGAAGTTTTTTTTTTCCGATAGTTTTGCATGATATACTAATCTGATGTCCGTTACGAACTCGTTAATTAAATGATATACAGTTAAATCTCTCAATAAAAATCTCGTCTGTTCTGATTTTTTTTTTTTGTTACTATAGTGAACTGTTGTTATAGAGAACATGTATTATAACATAAAAAATAATTTCAAAGAAAGCTTAAAAATGTAACGTACGTTAGAGTAACGTGTTATTAAAAAGGATGACGGTTATGAAGAAGTCTGACTGTATGTATACCTTGTTGTAGATTGGGCTGAGGTTGGTTTTGTAGAGAGAGATGACTTAGGGTATTTCCTGCAGTAGAAGAAGTGTTGCCAATAACTTGAGAGAGGACAGAAACCATAGTAGACATATCTTGCTGAGATCGAGCTGCAGAGTACATATTAGGAAATATCTCATCTTTTTTCTCCTTCGATTCATTGGATGAAAAGGGCCTCTTGCCATTTCTAATTTGATCCACTTTTGCTACCTTGATTTTCTTATAATTTCTTCAAGAAAAGCTATGATTATATTCTCACACAGTAGCTAATTAGGAGCTCTATCTTTGTACTAACTACTGAAAAGAAAATACATGAAGAAGTTGAAAACAAAGAAAGTGAAAGATTGAAGAATGCGGATATATAGGAATAAGAGAAAAAAAAGAGGAAGGAAATGCTAGGGTTTACAACTATAGCTTTATAAACTACGTGAACTACGTATCTAGAATGAGTGTAGATTTTATAATATTTATTGGTCATACTAATTTGTCCTTATTTAACTACTATATACTTTTAGTTTTTTATGGAAAGAAAAAATTCAAATAACTCCTTCCGGTCCATATTAATTTATTGTCGTGGTTACTAAATATATTTGGTTAAAAATAATTGTCATTTTAAAAAATTAAGATATAATTTATTGTTATTTTTTCATTGTGCCCTTATCATTAATTGTCCTTGAAAGTAAAAATTATTGATTAATAGAGAGAATATTTATGGCAAAATGCTAGTCAAAAAGCTCATATTATTACGTGTAAAAGAGAAATACGATAATAAAATGGACCGAGGTAAGTACATGCAAACATGAGTCCTAGCTAGCTAGTTGAGGATGGTGAAATCTTTCGGGTCGAACTTCCAGCTTTATTTTCTTCGACATATTCTTTCTTTCTTTTACTTCATTTTCCTGCTATTTTTTCCGTTTCAAATTATGTGAACCTATTTTCTTTTTAGTCTGTGCCAAAAAAATTCTTTATTTGGAAACAATTTATTTTTATGCAATGATTTGTAGCCACAAAAAATATATGTGCCTCGTTTTAATTTATACCACAAGTTCAAAAGTCTTCTCAACTTTCTTAAACTCCGTGTTCAGTCAAATATGTTCACATAAATTGAAACAGAGGGATTACTCTTTAATTCTAAATTCAATATGCTTCATCTATCATACTCTTCTTTAATACAAGAAGATTAAAAAGAGAGATGAAGAACTAATGCTTACATATTTCATGCCACTAGTGAATTCCTTTCTCCTTAACAGTTGTGCAAAGGAGGAGAATAAGAAAAAGAGAAATTCCCAAATGACATGACACTAATATTGTTCACTTATTGTTGAATTCACAATGTAAATTCTAATTTCACTTATTATATAGTTGGTAAATGTATCTCATTCTCCAAATAATAACAATACCTCAATTACGCACAAGTTGAGGTCGATTGTATAAATTATCGTTGATCATATATTTTATTTGAATTAATCTCAGGCTAACACCATATATAAAAAAAAAACTAAAAATAGAAAGTATTAGAAGTTCTTTACCTTTTCTATTGCCATAAATTATTAGATAGGCGATATAAAGACTCCTAGATTCCCGATGTAATATAATAACCTATAAAAAATTTATGATTGTGTTTAGAAATTTATTCGTTAGATATTCATCCTGATCATACTTCAAATACGCCAACCAGAAAAACACATTTTCTTCTTGAGTTTTGGGCGGGGTGGGTTTGGGGGGGGGGGGGAGTTGCGCTGTGTGATTTCAAAAATAAAGTTGAGGGTAAACAATGAAAAATTGACTAAAATAGTGAACCAGTGATAGCTCTATTATTGATGCTGCAGCTGCAGGTCAAGTCAATACTTGTTCTAACAAATCATACGGGAAAATAAGATGGTGAAAGAAATAATAAAAGGTGGAGGACTTGGTCAGTAGACATAAATACCTCATCTTATAGATTTTTTGTTATTGTCACCATCAACCCTGGAGGAACTGAACTTCATATCCACTCCTTTATTTATTTTTTTATTTATTTATTTATTCTCTTCTTTTATTTGAAATAAATTTGAAAGCGAAACTCTTACACAAATAATTACCACAATAAAAAAATAAAAAAAAATTCTTACTCAAACATACGTCCATGCATGTATTATCGCTTATCTTATTAATTTGTAAATTTGCTGCCCATTAATTTTTTCTTTATGGAAAATTTTAACATAAGAGAACTGATAAGCATGATAAGACAATATAACTTCCCATTTTTTTTTTTTTCAAAATTTCCGAGCTTTTATATATACCCGTATATATTCAACTTCTCCACTGGGAATTTTTTGGTGTGTGCACGCACGCGCCTGTGCTTATGTGTGTTAAGGCAGGTGAAGGAGGAGAACCTGAAATTGCTGCATATAATAACAAATTGCTATCTAGTATCTCTTGTTCAAAGAAAACCACATTTGGTGGTTAAAGTTTTAACATGAGAACCTTATTAATAAGTTCATGGATAACATGTAAAAGGGAATAAAAAGAAAGAAAAAGTTGAAGGTTGAAGTGACATGATTACATGGTTCAACAATTTGACTTTGAATTTGAGAATAAGACAAACTAAAATAGAACGTTGATTGTGTCAAAGAAAAGACTAATATAGCTTGGAATAACATTTAGTCAAACGGAAGAAATAATGTTACTCATATTATATCAAACTGACGTTGCTTCTTCGGTCGATCAAGGAATCCCTTAATATATGATGCAAAACGCTCTGATTCTATCCGTTTTCAATGACCATTTTTTATCGTCTCAATAACTGAATCAATCTAAAGAATCCAAATGGTTGAAAATGACACAAACATAGAAGCACTCTATTCAAGCAAGCATTTTTACGATCTAAACCCAGCATTTTCCAATAGCTAGCTCCTTAAATAAAAGTATCCCGCGTTCATGCAGGGTCTGGTAGTTCAGCGGCTAGCTCCTTAAATATTTGGAATTAAATAGCAAAGTAATGTGTAGATACTCACAAAATGAAGTAATTGCAGCATCCTCTCATGTTAACGAGATTGAATTTACTCGATCAGTACAAAAGTAGTGAACTTCCATATGAAAATTTTACCGACAAAATCAACAAATACATGATTATAAAGAAACATAATAAATTATACAAGCTTCTGGGCAATATGAAAGAAAATACGTAATCAGACATCCTAAAAGTAAAAAGATTGGCAACGTGGGAAAAAAGCTCGAAAATGGCAATTATAATGGAGCAATGCACGAATCAATATTTGTATGTACAATTCTGGTATGATCATAAAGTTGGCTGGATCCTTTTGAGCCGCATGTATTCCAAAAACTGGGAAGGTAATTCAGCTAAAAGTGATTGAAGGACCGAGGCATCTCCACCTGCAAATGAATGCAAAGGAATCAGGTCAGATACAGCGAAAGCCTACTCACACGAGTGCCATCCTTGGAAGAGGACTTTTGATTTATCCTCTTCAATAAGAGAGAGCTCGTTGTTAAGCATTACAATGACCTACTTTGTACATCTCGGAATGGAACAAATTGGACTATGTCACGCACTGCAACACGTCCACGTGTCGATTCAAGCCTCTCTTTATCACCATCTAAAATCTGTGAACATACAATATGGGACCATTAGTCGATTTAATACCATGATATGCTATATGCGGAGAAAGAGTAAATACATACCTCCATTTCCTTGTAATCTGCTCCTCCTACCCCAACAATAAGAATTGACAATGGCAAATCCGCAGCATGAACAAGGGCATCCATTGTTTCTTGGAGATCTGTTATCACTCCATCCTGGGATTTTTGTAATAATATAATTCAGCATCGAAATAAACATATGAAATTCAGTCAAAAATGTGCATGATAAAATTCAACCTCGACAAATATCAGATAGAAGAGCTTCGCTCCAGGTGAAATTCAAGTTTAAGGTTTTCCACACCATTATAACGCATTTCAGTGAAATTTTTCCATGCAAATACATATATATGACTAGATACAGTACCATTTGCCTAGCTTAACTTAGCAAGGCTTGATGGTAAATCGGGTTCATGCTACCAAGCAAAGTTCAAATTTCAGACGTTTGACAAGAGATCAGTTGGCTGGGACTCTAATCAGTGAAAGCCAACAAGATAGCACATAATGGTTGACATTTAACTTGATCCACGATCATCAGGAAATAATATGAGAATACAGTGTTCATCCGAATTGAAAAAGAGATAGTTTACGCTCAAAAACTGAGATATACCGTGATTATTAACAAAATGAAATACTTCCGCTCGCCCTTCATCAAAGACTTATTTGCTATATCTGCAGCTGACGTAATCACCGGTCCAAATATAGTTGGTCCTGCAAGTGAAACATTAAAAAGGGCACTCATGTACGCCGTCATGATACCCTGGATTCCTTGCACCTAGAATAAGAAAATACTGATTAATCAAATGTGATGAAATAAGGGAATTCACAACATTAAGATATAATAAATTTGGCACATGTAATGATCTTCTGCATACCTCACAGTAGTCACTGCTGCCATTTAGATTGAAGCAATGAGACACAGGGCCATCAATTGGCCGTGCTCCGAACCCCCAAGCAGGATAATGTTGGTCTTTATCGTAAAAATGCAAGACCTCTCCAACTTCCAAGATTGCCTGAAATTTGAGTTCTGATTCAATGAAGCCAATCATATGAAGGATAAATATAAGATCATTATGCACACGACCATTTTCTCACTTTCTGATAAGCATTTGGCCGTCCTGAAGGATCGATATAATGCAATGAATCAGGTAAGCGCGGATTCCCATTAGAAGCTGACAAACACAACTCATGTGAGAAACAAATGCATGCTGAGATGCCAAACAAAAAAATCCAAAACCCACAGCAGAAGATAGCCGAGACAAACAAATAAATATAAGCCGATTAACGGAATTGACATAATAGATGCATATCATTTGTAGGTGGCAATCAAACTTTGTCATACTATTACATCTAATCCAAGCAGTTCCAACTGTAATGACACTAAGGCTTGCTTGTGAAGGCGGATAAAATGCAACAAATTAGCTAAATTCAAGGTGATATTGTACAGTCATACAGACAGTCACAGTCTACAGAATTGTGAGCATTCCAAGAGTAGAAACTTCAAATCTGGTATAAGGTAGCAGGACCCGGTAGAAGAGTTGAGGTGCGTGCAAGCTGGCTAGGACACCACTGTCATTAAGAAAAAAGAATAGGAACTTCAAACCCGTAAGGTGGCTCAATTTAGACACCCCCTCCCCCCCCTCTCTGATACCAAAAATAAAGACGGGGTCAGAGATCCTCCATGATAATCATCACATTTGTGAAGGCAAAACAATATCCCCATGCATAGCTACAGAAACATAACTCTTGCTCAAACCTGATATCATGAAGG